GGGGGGGGGGGAACTTTGCGATGTATTTTCCAAAGTGATTCTGTTTGAACGAATTGAACGCTCACCTAAGCACAGATACGTTGTTTCGAAATCGGAGTAGATAAGTGGTCATAGCAACGCCTAAAAGAAAGGACAGAAAGGGGGTAAAACAATGAAATTTTGTGAAAAGAATTATGGATGGAGATTTAAACTTCGTGTGTTGATAAAGTCACTCACCTGGCTTCCTTGGGAATTCTTATAGGCACAGCAAAATCATCGTTCGCAGCCTGCAGCAGCGCTCGGTCCCATCCCTCGAATGGTCTTTTAGAGAAAGTCTGGGGGATGTGGGGCAGCTTGATCGTCTGTTGCATCGTCACTGCTGAATGCTACTCCCTTTGTTAGGTCACAGAACGCTATAAAAGAGATGACTGAATATATCCATAAAGTGATAGAGAAGAATAATTCCTCGAATTGCTTTGTGTTACGGGAGTAGTACTTATTCTCCACTTCTTCCTAGCGTCACGTCGTTACTTGAAACTCATAATATTTCGTTCGATAAATAACAGAGTTTCTTGACGAGAAAATCATAACACACTGAATAAGAAACGTATATTTATTAAGAGATTTTTAAACTGTCACTGTGATATGCACAATCTTTACATCGTCTACTAGATTTTTAAATAAAGTTACCATAAATCTGTAGTTCTACAAGGAATCCTGATTTATTTCTACTGCTTACGAACAATATTTTTGTAGCACAAAACAAGCTCTTTTTGTTATAGTTACTGTCTTTGTTGATTACGACCACAATGATCACATTTCCTTATTTCAGTTCCATCTATGTGCCTCAATGCTTTAATTATAATATTGGCATCAGCCAGTATCCTGTGATCGTCCTTGTCCAGAAACCAACGCACAAGTAAGTCAGCAGCCCATTCTCACGAAGACACGAAAACTCACAACAACCAAACACGTCGTTTCCACGGTTGGAACAGGCCCAAAAATAGAGAAAGTCCAAATCACGACAACAACAGACGTTTTACGGCCTTCACAGCAGACTGATCGTGAAGACATAGAAGAGGGTGCCAACAGCGTAATGAAAGAAAGCCCTTGATAGAAATGTTAAGCCTTTACTGTTTACTTTTGGGTTCACTCCCACAGAGGCCTTGCCGCTAATGACTGTGGAGATAATGTCTCCAATAGCAAGAAGGAGAAGCCTGCGAACAAGGACTGGGGAGCAAGTGGCATTATTAATGTGCCGGCCAATGTTACTGAAAGTGCTTCTGTTCGTCTCGGCTGAATAAAAAGGAATGTATGCCTTTTTAGTACATCCGCGTGTCTGTGAGGCTATAGGTTATAAGTCCTCAATAGCAAAAACGATAAGTCTGTTCTACGAAGGTCAGTCTTGTGTGTCTGTTCTTCTGTATACTTGTCTTTCTTGCGGCTTTATGGATCTTAAATTCCTCTTTCCCTCTTGTAAAAAAAAGGCTGTGCACACATTATTCAGGATTGTCTATGAATATTATTCATATACGTTCCCCCTCCCCTGCTCTTTCCTCTCTCTCTCTCTCTCTCTTTCTCTCTCTCTCT